TATAATAAGAACTTACTAACTTTTTAATTTAAAATTATATATAACTATTTAATTAAATAGATCTCTATATAAAAATAAGATTTATAAGTTATCTAGATATTTATATTAGCTCTAAGGTTTAAATATAATAGAAATATAAGAATATATATATTATATCCAGAGAGTTATAAGTTAGAACTTACTTATTAATTTAGCTAGATTAAATAAATTAGCTATTTTTCTATATCTATAGAAAAAGATATACTTTTTACCTCTTCTTATTTTTACTTTTAAAAATCCCTTCTTATAAAAGATATATCTTTTATAATCTTATAGTAATTATAATTAATTAATTAACTAGCTATAAATATAATCTATTTAATTAAATAAGAATATATATAAAACTTAAAACCTCTTTTTTATAGCTATTATAGAAAGTTATTAGATTTTAGTATAGTTAGTAGTCTATATTTTAAGCTCGCTAATAGCTGTAGTATTATTCGTTTTTCCCCCAATATACTATCTGGTACCGGCGATGCCTCTGTGTGGTCGGTCGACCGCGAAGAAGGCAGCGCGTTCGAAGGCCCCATTGGAGCTCCTGGCTTCACTTCGGGTATCAACAGGAGTGTTTTGACTCGATGGCTTGTGGATATCGCGACCTCTGACCCTCCCAAATGGGCGCGCCAAATGCCTGCCGTGAGTACGTCTAGCAAGAAATAAGGGGCTGAGGTGTTTGTAATAGCTCTTGATTTCCTGTTTTAGTCTTAAGAATAATTATGTATTTATACGAGTTGATATAGAGGATTGATTCTGTCCTATTATAGACTACCAGTTTAAGAGAGGAAAAGTGATCCCCAGAAGAAAGATCAGATTTGAATTGCCTAAGATTTCCAAGTATATAGTCAATAGCGATTACATACAGTCCGAGAAGGTATTTCGACGATACAGTCGGTGAATAATGCGAGAAGCTATAAAAGAACTTCGACAGCTTGATTATCTAGCCCACGGCTACAGAATTGCGCCTGTGGAAATTAGGCCTCTACATAGCAAATTTACTAGGAAAGGGAGGGGATTATCCCCGGCAACCTGGATACAGAAAGGATCCGAATATACATGTCTGGCAAATGGCTGTCGGACTTGCGGGTCGTTCGTGCTTCGACATCATTTTAGATCCATTGATTTTTGATGGAGATGCGGACTTTTGCATAAACGGACGCGTCTAGTTTCCTCACCGCGTACGAAAACTCGTCACGCTGTCTCTTGTTGCGATCGTCATTCTGTAATGAATCACATTTGGTGGAAAGTAGCGGAATTTGGTGCCACTTCTTCGTAAAACCGGACCAAAAAGGAATAGCTCGAGTTTGATTATAAAACTATGACATGATGCTCCATATTTAGTCGTACTTCAGAATCCCTCAAAGTGGGTTGAAAAAAAGGATGAGACTCCGAATTAGACAGACTCTTCTCTGCCCACCAGATACAGCAAAAGAATAGTATTTTCTATGAAAAAGTCTCTATAGGTAATTTTAAGCCTTGAAAGATTTTATATGCTTTTGAGGACTGGAAATTTGTAGTTGGTTGATAAATCTCAATATGAATACCTGGTATAAGGGTGAGAGTACCTCTAGTGGTGGTTCGGTGTCCCATCCTTTTTTTTTCAACCCACTTGTCCCCCTTCGTCGTAAAACCTGTAAGGGTTGGGGGGGGGGGAGGGGTACGAGGACAGGTGTTTGTGTGTATATTCGTGTATTTAAGAGAGACAGTAGGCTTGTGTCTAATTAAGGCAGCATGGAAGATCCTCCCTATGGACCTGAACGCTCAGTTTCGGTCTATGCTGCTAGCGAGGAACAGACAGAGCAAGAGGTCTAAAAATCTCACAAAGATAATGGCCACAAACGACCGGATCTTGTTGGTCAATGCCAGTATGTACTGAGGGGATTCCTGCGATTGGCCTTACAATGAGGCCTTTCTAACACGAGCCGCATTTCTTCCCGATCTCAACTTCGGCGCGGCCTCAGATACAAAGCATCAAGGGATGCCAAGAAGTTCAGTTTCTATTCCAGCTTTATGGAATGGGCAAGTAACTCCGGGGCACTGTATGCTCCACCACGTAAGAGACCATCTTTGTTCCCAAGAAAAAGAAGAATGAACGGCCAATTAGACATATCCTAATGTGATCTCCAGAACATTATATCAATTAAATGCGTAGGATATAGCTCGACTTCACGTAGCAGCAACCATTTCCCCCATGTTGAGAGCCAACGTATATTCGAATTTGCCGAACCTTCCAACTGGGACTTGGTCCTAGATGTACTGCAACAAGGGGAACCTGGTCGGAAACTTCCTCCCTAGTTTTCTGGAGAGGTGGATGCTACCAACGTCAAACCTACTGACAAGTCTGAGCAGTTGCTACGGCATCTTGGCCAATCAGGATGGGTCTCATTAGACGCGACCATTGAAAGCATTTTGGAAGATATCGATGGTCAATAACCATTCCCTTAGTGTGCTTTATCAGTAATAACGTGACTGATCGTGATGAGCTTAATGTTAAATTAAACATTTATTCTTCGAGGAGTCTCACTTCGCGAGGACCTTTTTGTAATGCTGAAGTCTCCGTCTTCTATATTAACATTCTTATAACGCCCTCAGAGGCCATTGAGAATCATATTTCGGGCTACCAAGTAGCTAGCGCGAGAAGGTAAACCTGTCTCAACTCCTCTTAACGAGGGATATGGGCCGAGGCTATGATTTGCTCTCGACTATACTCCTTGAGAACTGACGAGACCTTTCTGAGAGCCCTTGCTCGATTTTCTGCTCCCGGAGCCCCAAGTGCTAGAGGCCTTCTCTCCACAAAGGCGGAAGAGCGGCTGTAGAGCAGGGAAGCACGCTGTCCAAAGCCCAAGGTGCGCCTCAATAACACCCCAAAGAGACCCCACGCCAAAACTCCAAGTACTATAAGAATTAGACAAGCGTTAGATTCCACAGCATACAAATATGGTCATTCGCGGTAGTTTCGAAGGGGGGTTTGGAGTTTGAAACGTACACATCCACATAATTACCCAGAATGAAGGTAAGCCTGACAATCCCTGCGATAACAGAGACTAGACCGACACAGAATATAAGAATGACACGGACTGTCTTAGGTGAGAACTTCATCTTCCGGTAAACAACAGAAATAGGCAGTACTAGCATGCACACGTCAACAAAGATGCCCATTCCCGTGTGGAATAGCATAACTGTGTGCTCGTTCGCCGGGGACGAGCATTGCCTATCTGGGTTCGTGAGGTTCCAAAGGTCTCTAAAGCACCAGGCATGAGAGTTGTTAGACTTGATTGAAAATAGACAAATAGAAATGGCTTGAATTTCCTCACTTGACGTTTTTACACTCCGTCAGGATGTACACAACTAGGATCAGAGTCATAGAAAGCACTAAGAATGCGACAGCATAGACTCCGCGCAGGAACCATTCTTTCCCGGATGTTAGTAACTCTGAGTAGAGAAAGGGACCGTTGAATCACATACTGTCTTTACTCATGCGAAGGAAAAACGCAAGATTCGAAAGCCGCACGAGGCACAGCACAATGATAAATAATAGTGTTATGGTGGCAATTAACTTGTAGAACGGTCAGGATCGGCAACTCCAAAAAAGACGGGCTGGACATACCGAAAAGAACGTCGCCAGCCTATCGGGTGGAACTTCCGACATGTACGTCCCTTGCCCATTTGCAACGCCTGTGGCTTTGTCAGGTTCTGGCTGTCAAAAATGAGGAAATGAAACACATACTGACGAGTTCAACAGCCGTCCAAGCTAAAATAACGGGCTGTAGGAGGATGCATATGTTAGTTCCAAATCCATATCATAGAGCAGACAAACGCACAAGTGTAATAGCGGCAATGAGATCGTCCAGTCCCAGAGCTTTGACCATAAATCCTCTCACTGCCAACCGTGCACAGACAAGTACACTGGAAATTGTCATCGCGGTGATATAGACTGGACGTAGAACATAAGCGCGTGAGTCCGGCGGTGGGACCCAACCATCACTGCTTGGCATAGGAGATGTTCTATCCATGATTTCCGGTACAATGGCGTCTCTAGAGTCTCGAGACCGTAGGGGAAAGATGTCGGAAGTGCACACGATCAATGTTGACCTTTTGGCGGGCTCTTTCGACCGACGAAGTAGGAGAGGTTTTGATGGAAGTAATTAAAGCCAAAACAAGCACTTCAGCCCCAGATAGCCATATGGCGAATTAGCCTAACCTGGATTCGGAGATTTTGGATGGGGACTGAGTTTAAGGCTGAGGACGTTGGAATGTGTTGACCATATCCCACTTCTCTGGCTCCCTTGCTAAGTTAACAGCCAGCATAAAACAGCTCTTTATTCACAGCACAGCGAGGCAAAACCAATGCTGTACAAAAAAATTACTCATTTGGGAGCATTAGAAATCGATTAGATAGCAAAACAACAATCTCACTGCTTCATAGATCTGGCTGCGAAGCAAGGCTGGAGGCTGTATGCGTCATAAATTTTGTTGGAATGCTCAACCTTATTACGGTGTGCCACAGCTCATATCCCATGAAATCACGAATGCAGCCTGCGTATTTCTAAGGTCAGACCGAGTTTCTCGATGAGTCATGCATTTGATAAGAGGTGTCGCAATGGTTCAATTTCCAAATCGAACCTTCTATTCCAAAATCAAGCTATAGTTCTATTTAATCTAAACGCACAGTCTACGATAGCGTTTGCCTCCTATAGCGACGGTATGTGCACAACACTCTACTTACGCTTAGGAGCTGTAGTGTGCCTCTTATGCCATCATGGATGCCCTCTCTGGATCGGTTCTTGGGATCCGCATAGGTCAAGTAGCAAAGTCGCAGATGCAGCTTAACACCTAGATGATTGTCCATGCGTCATGCACATTAATCGTCGTAGGAGCCAGCAAAAACCAGTACTTCTTGCAGAGACTGATGCCAAATATCAAGCCGCTGGCCTCTCCTTAAATGAGCTCGTCGATTGCTTTCTACATGTGACTACCTACCTACACAAAAGGAAGGACAAGATGGCTTTGGTACTCTGACCCTAAATGCAGTATGTGCTTCCCCTTGTTATTGGTATGATCTTTCCCAAAGTTGCTAATTGAGCGGTTTCGGCCACCGATGACGACCTTGAGGCTCTCGCCAGGCTCATATTCGATTCCAAACGCCCAAATTCCAATATCTAACCTGACTATGGTTCCAGGCTCGATTTTCTCCTCCCTGTCGTGTGGGTGGAAAGGCCAGTGTGGATGCATACTTTTGTTCTTGTCGATAGCTCTGTGAGAAGCGCGTAGGATGCCCGAAGGACCCTTGTAGGCGATTACCTCTGTTTCTTCATCGGGTTTAATATCCTCAAAGGAGTTAGCTGGTATACCGCCCCACGGGATATTGAGGTTTTTCATCTGTCTTCCATCCTTGTCTAACTTTTCGATTGTTACATAAACGTCGAGATCATCGTGATCTGGGCAGGACATGTACAACACGGCTTTAGGGATACCAATGAGTTGTGTCGTCTTTTGAAACGTATACGTGAATTCGAGATGGTCGTCAGACTGTGAATCATAGCTTAGGCTTGAAACTGATCCCAACGGCTGGTCCAGGGCGATATTGTTGTTGGGCCCAAGATAGGCTTGCCTGTATCGTGTTCTTGGGATTGGGAAATCATCCTCGACCATGTTCTCATATGACTGCGGTTCTTTGTTCCCAAAGCGGAGGACTGCCATCCTCACTCGAGGTGTCTTCGGCCAATCGTTTTCCTCGCCCTTGAGGAAGTGATCAAAGAATAATTGCAGCTCTTTTTTGGCCTGTTTGTTCCCCCAAAGGTCATACCATTCTTGCCAGGGATGCCACCGAAGCCACTTGTCTCGTGACGGGATCTCGAGCCAACCTCTGATAGCTCCCATTCCGTGCATGGTGTTTGTCCATGTCCCGGTAATGTATGTAGGAACTTGGATCTTCTTCATGTCTGGTCGTTTACCGTTCCACCAAGAATTCGCAAGGGGATGTTCCTCGAACATCTTTCGGAAGCTCTCTACGCCATTACGGCCTTGAAGCATATGTTTGACGATGAGATTGTCAAAGAGATCTCCAGCGTAGATCCCGCCTCGAGCGAATTGCTCACGGTAAAGGTCACCGCAACCTTCCCACGGAGCTATGGCTTTGAGGCTCGGCGGCTGAAGAGCAGCAATAAACCACTGCGCGATTGCTAAATGTGAGTTTCCCGCAAGACCCACACGCCCATTGCACCAAGGGAGCTTGGCTATATGCTCAATCGCATCGTATCCATCTTCGGCCTCTTGTTGGCCCATCATGACCATTGTCCCTTCGCTGTCGCCAGATCCACGACTGTCAATGTTGATGATAGCGTATCCTGCCGGGACCCAGTCTGCTGGATCAGGAGCCTCAAACTTTTCAAGGCCAGACAAAGTTCCCGGCGGGACACCGAGGTTCCAGGGCGTCATCAACCCTAGGGATTTGATGCCGTTGAACTTCTTCCCGAAGGGGGACCAACAAAGGATTGCTGGTACGTTTTCGCCGCCGGTAGGGCGAAGAATGTCGGCATAGAGTGTAATGCCATCCCGCATCGGGATCGCCACATCATGTTCAACAAGAATTTCCGATGTGATTGGTTTTGCATCAGCATGTTCAGCGTGTTGCCAGCCGCGAGGTAGGATCTCCGTACGAGGGTTGAAGCCGCTATAGCCACCAATCCCGATCTTGGGAGCATTTATCGATTCGATTGGAATCTGAGGTACCATGATTTGACGAATTGTGAATGGAAATGGGGAGTTTGTGATAGCGTAAGGAAATCTCTTCTAAGTAGGCAACGACAGAAAACTGCTCCTCATACAATTACCGTCAAATTATAGCCGAGCTCAAGTTCATACAAATATTCATTCAGAAAAGCTATCAAATTCAACCTATCAGTATAGGCATCGGTTCGTAACGGCTTGTTAGTGATACCCGGGGCAGATCCCGGTGGGCGTGGGCGTGGCAACATGAGGAGTTCCCGAACCGAAGCGAACCGACCCCAAATTCCGTACCGATATGTTGGTGCTTCAGACTTTCCGAAATGATCACCGCCCTCTGGAGAGTCAACTAGAAGTATAAACGAACGATTATTGGACAGTTTGTATGATTACAATTACAAGCTCGAAGTCAGTTGCAACTTCTATCAGGCAATTTATTCTACTTAAACACCTCAGCACAGAAGAGTCGGACCGCTCTAGTCTACTTCGTTTACGCATCAAGGCAATGTCTACTCAAACTGTTACACTCACTCAAGTGGCCACAAACGGCCATCCCAAGGAGTCTATCATTCCGAAGCCTGCTGGGCACAACAAGTTGTTTGCCAAGGAGGGTGTCACATATGGGGATTGGCGCGATGACCTTGTCCGCGACGGTGTCGCGGTAGTAAAGGGTGCTATTCCCCGTGATCGGGCTGACAAGTATGCCGAAGACATCTTTACCTTCCTTGAAACTTTGTAAGTTGGTAAAATCCCTTTTCATCAGTACATTGGCTTACAGTCCAACAGCAAAGGTGGGCTAGGTTTCAAACGAGACGACCCTTCGACCATCAAAGAGGATAATTTGCCCATCATCAACGAGAAGGGAATGTGCTTGGGATATGGAGTAGCCCACGAAGACTTCGCTTGGAACGTCCGCCAGGAACCTGGAGTCATCGGTGCTTTCGAAAAAGTCTACGACACAGAAGATCTTATTGTGTCCTTTGATGGAGTCAACATCAGCTTCCCAAACCGTGCCGACCTGCCCGACAATAAGCCTTGGCCACACCAAGATCAAGATCCCCAGAGGCCTGGGTTCAGATGCCTCCAGGGACTTGTCAACCTTCTCCCAAATGGGCCGAATGACGGTGGGCTGATCGTCTGCAAAGGCGCATACCGACTCAGCGAAGAGTTCCACGAGGAATTCAAGGACGAGCCGGATAAGATTTGGGCCTGGACCAAGGAATGGTACGGCTTCACAGAGAGGGGTATGAAATGGCTCGAGAACAAGGGCTGCAAGTGGGAAAAGCTCAACGCAGAGCCAGGCGACCTTCTCGTCTGGGACAGCCGCTGCCCGCACTATAACCTCAGCCCAACTGGCGACGCCCCTCGATTTTGCATTTACACCTGCTACATGCCCGCGACAGATGCCAGCGAGGAGGAGCTGGAGCGAAAGAAGAATGCTTTCTATGAGACTAAGAGCACCACACACTGGCCCAATGCCTTGAATGTTGGCGGAGTTCCAATCAAGAGGGGCGGCAAAGATTGCCCATACAACGACTGGAAGCCGAGGAAGCCTGTTGAGCTTTCCGAGAGGGGATTCAAGTTAACCGGCATTCCTTACATCGGGGCTGTCTCTGCCTAACTCGAGATATATAGCTGATAAATACTTGCTTTCCCGGCACTATGGAAGATACAAATTCCCTTTCAAGTGACATTCTTTTACCTCTACAAATTAGAAAACAAGTTTCTCCCAACCTTTATGTCCCTCGTCGATAGTTAACCTGGGGCAACCTAGACACCATAATGAACAAATGGAACCCACAGCAGCGGAGAGTCTTCCTCATCAGGTATCATGTCTCTTGACTTGAGTGACACCTTCTGAGCCCCTCCATTACCCCTAAGTTTGTCTCCCCTATCCTCAGTATTGACCAAGATCCAATGATCTCGTAGATTCCGGATTGTCCAGTGGAGCCCTTCGCTGACTGATTCACTGCGCATTTGGTTATTTGCAATCCATTTGTATGTCTCGGTCGCCACATCCAGGCAGATTCTATCATCTACCACCCAGAGAGTGCCAATAACATTCTGAAATCCACCAGCCTGAAATGCGCTAATGAGATGGAGACCTTCGTCAACTAAGTCATTTTTCCCAATCTGGCCAGTTCCGCAAGCAGAAAGGTATGCCAGAAACGGAGGGTGGTCGGACAAGTTTGATTTGAGTACGTCGTCGAGCGTAAGTGAATCGCCTTCCAAGACCAAATGACTTTTCAATGGATCCAAGCTATTCATACGCCCGTGACCAGCAAAGTGGAAAACGGTACATCTGTCCATTGCTGATTGAATATCTTTTCGGCGGGGCAGGGGGGTCATAATGTCCAGCTTCATGGAGCCACAGATATCATTGACGTTTTCTATCTCCTCGGCTACATGGAAAAGATCCTTCGTGCCCACAATGACAGCCTTGCCGGTCTCCTTAGGCTTGTCTACTTGATTGCAGCTCTGTTGGCCGTATATGAGCATCGCAACAGAGGAACCGTAAGATGATATCACTCGGTCCAAGACAGTCTGTGCCGAGTTCTGTTTGTGATATCCTGCTGCATGGATGGGGAACTTGCTGAGAGGTCCCGTGAGAACCCACCATATGCGAGGGATATTATCATCCTGAGGTTTCTGACAAAACCCCAGTTTGCTCAGAACATGTACTGCGATTGTGTCCCAAAGCCACTCAAGCAGATCGCTGTCGATATGTTGAAGTTTCGTTATTCGTTCATTAATATCGAGAAGTGTCAGTTGAGGTAACGGCAAGGTATACATATTCTCTTTGTCAATGATGAATGCATTACATTGATATATGCTCGCATTAACAATCACAACTGGCCCGCGCTTTGCAAAAGCGTGCATATCCTTTTTTGAGTGGGGCCTCAAAAAGTGATTGAATACCTTCAGTTTTCTGATATTCCTGATAGATTGCTCAAATCTGTCGCTTGTTTCATGGCGTTGATCTATATTATCCAGTGGTGACTGATATAGTATATAGAGCTGGTCTCGAAGAGTCACCAACTCTTGAGCAAGTGAAGAGCAATATTCACGAAGAGCTGAGAGATCTAGTCTTCTTTCATTGAGGGCGTTCATAATAACGCCACGTCCGATTTCAAGGAGTTCAATCGCCTCATATGCATTTTCCCCTGTTGTAACTGCTAGAGCAGCAGCATCCGAAGCCAAGGAGCTCGCTTGGGCTAGAAAATACTGCTTGTCATGGTTGTCAAGACCATGGTGCGCCAGAGAAGGAAGAAGATGGACCGTCTTGTGAGCAGTTTGATATGCGCGTGTCCGTTCTCCCTTCTCTGCATGAGCGAAGAGTAGAATTTCCCCAGCAAGTTGCTTGTCGCTTACGGATGTTCCATCGCTGTCCAAAACCATTCGGAAGTTACTCATTGCTGCCTCGCGGTCCACTTCCTCACCGGCATGGCGATAATATCGTAGCCATAACGCGTATCCGGGGTCTGTTGCTTTGCCGATGCGGTTTGCATGAGGATATTGATTTGAATGATGGGACATCTGTCCCCAAAATTAAATAGCTGTATCGAGATCCTCCAAAGATTCTGTTACTTCATATTTACTAAAGTAACATTGGAAAAGTGCAGAAAGTGCATTTGCCACGCTCCGCTGATCATGGGACTGATTTGCGAGTGAAGATTGAAGGTATTGAATGGTGGCATCGAAGTCTGCCTCATTTTTGCTGACCACATACTTCTCTCTGTATATATGCCCAAGTTTTTGAAGTCCGATGTCTCTCCAAGGGTCTTCAATTGGGGCTGAATCCAGTGCTTGGTGATTCAACTGCACTGCTGTTTCTAAATCAATCATTCTTTCACTTCTCTTATGCTGAAGTAAATAAAGATCTGCAAGGGAGATGAGAAGCTTTGGGCGGTCTTCGTGGCCCTCTTGTGCCAAAGAAAGACTATCTGTACCATACTGAATGGCTCTATTGAGGTCACCAAGTTCGTTCGTTCTATTATATCGATACTTATAATTTGCAGCAATTGCCTCGTAAAGACTGCACTTTTTGGCATCCTCCATAGGAGAAATGCTAATGGCTTCATGGAGTAGCTGAGTTGCGAAATCGAGAGTGGCCAGAGCACCAGTTTTAAAAGAACAGTATTCGTATCGAGAAGCAAGCTCTGCAAGGCGATTGGGGCGAGATGGGTCACCATATGGGATTGCATCGAGGGTTCTCCTACATAGCTGGATAAGCATGTCGAGATCAGCTTTCTCTCCACTTCGCCCGTGTCTCAATTCATATGCGAGGGCGAGTCTATCCAGGCACTCTAACATCTCCGTTGGATTGTCAACTAAAACCTCGTTGACAAAGTTATGAAGCTTTTGGATGCCTGTATCAAGATACGGAAGATGCTCTGTCCTTTGATACATAACAATAAACTCTGATCCAATGACACGGCAAAGAATTTGACGATCTTCACGGTCATATGTTTCCAGCTCAAAAGCACATTCATGATATTGTATAGATGCCATCAAGTCGTCTGCGGAAAGTGTACTCAAGCTCTTTTGCCAGAAAAAATTCGCCAGGTATTCGAAAAGCTCGAAGCGTTCGTGAGAAGTTTCTGGGACCAGGGCAAGAGCCTGTCGATAACAATGAACCGCCTGCTCGAGATCAAATAGGGAGTGCGATAGTAAGAACTTCGAATTGTAACTCGTCCCCAAAATACGAAGCCGTCGAACCTTGTTGCTGTTGTCCTCTGGAGTTAAATCGACCGTAATTTTGCCGTATGTCATCGATACATCGAGGCAATCTACTTCATTCGTTTCTTCATATCGTTTTCGAAATACATATGAAAGATGGTCAAAAATATCTGCCATAAATATCTCATCCGGATTCAAGTCAAGAGCAGATTTGTAATTGCGAACCGCTTCCTCAAAATCCGAGAGGGATTTTGTTATTTCATATCGATATCCATACTCCCTACCAAGTAGCTTTAGGTCAAATTGCCTAAGCAAACCGACGCCTGGAGTAATATCAATTGAATGCTTCCGAAATTTAATTACCATATCAAGATCCGATAAGCTGTCTGTTGCGCCGTATTTCGTTCTTAATTCCACCACGAGACTCTCAAGGTAGATCTCATACTGGGGATCCCCAGGTAGAGTTGACTCAAGGGCTTTTCGGCGATGCCATATGCCCGTCTCAAGGTCAGCGAGGTTGTTCGTTTCATTGTATTTTTTGCTATATTCAAGCGCCAGAGTGTCGTATCGGTCTGCTTTTCTCGGATCCTCATCTGATGTGAGATTGAGCGCCATGTAGCGAAGGATGATTCCAGTCTTCTTTAAATCGCTGGTATCCCGTGATTCATCGTGTTCTCTTGTAAATAGTGATGCAACAAGGGCGAACTTCCGTGCACGTTCAGGAGAATGAGGTGCTGTTGGCTGGGAGGACGCCATTGGTGATATAAGTATATGTTTTCGCCAGTATATATGAATCTGTGGGCGGAAGCTCTTGTAAGGCAATTTGGGGTATCCGCAGCTTCACTCTGATATGATTGATTTCCTCTCAGTATTACAGTCAAGTTACCTAGCATCGTTACAGAGAGAGGAGGGGCCAGGAGTGCGCCTCATGCCGATATAAAACATTACACGCTGAGTGAAATACGCCTTGTCCTGCGGGCTTACCTCTGTAATGATCCCAATCGTGGCACAAAATGATTGGCCAAATCAACAGATTTGACTAATCAGAAAGGATATGCTACCCCGTAAGCGAACCAGACATAAACAAGACAACGTCTCTTGGTCATATGCTAAATATTTGAAAACCGCCGACGTTCCCCAGAACAACTCGACTGATAACATCCACCGTTATATATACACCTCAGGAGGTCCCGGCGGGCGACTCTAGAGACGCGGGTTTTGACCAGTTAGTAAGGGCGGCGAGGGAGGAATTGATCGACCAGGATTCAAATTAAAACATGGCCCCCAGGTTACCTACCTTACTTCGCTTGACTCCGTCCCGCCTCCAACGCCGGATTATGAAGATAATTGGTCTATTAGCTGATCATAAATGTTGCATGGGCAATCGTTGAGATGGACTACAGAGCCTTCTGGCCGACTATTATAAACGATCCTTCGAGTAGTTATTCAGATGTCACAATCAAGAGCGTCAAAACATAATCAGTTATTGAATTGGTCTAGAGCCTCATCTCCTAATGGTCAAATTCCGCGCTGCTAACGTTCGTGCGATAGAAACCATGTCTTCTCACAAACTCTTGTCGACTGCCCAAAACGTCTTCAACGCCCACCTGCGGAACCGCGGACCTAGGAAGTACATTGGAACTGTGATGGCGCCCAAGACACCGCATATAATGGCCAGAATGTTCATGGCCCCATCATACCCAGTTGCATCAATCAGGGGGACTGTCGAGTAGCTCAGCCCGAAGCTGATGAATCCGCGACCGACACAAATAACCATCAGAAGAGCCCCGCCCTGCTTGGGGAAGCTGTCGATGGAATATGTAATTGCCACAAGGTTGGCACTCATAAAGGCAAACAAGCCAATGTGATAAGGAGCCACAATCGCCATCCAGTGCCATCTCTCTGGGTGGGCGCCCGCCTGCCCATAGATGACGCATGCCAGGATGACGGCAACTATTGGAAGTGCGAGAGAGATGAACCTATCCTCAGGCTGTCGCTAGAGCATTAGTCTCTGAATATGTCCCGAATACAATGGTTTGTCTACTTACCACAAACATCCCTTTCCTCCAGGCACTAAGACGCTTGACTAATAAGTCAGACCCGTATCCCACAATGGGGATCAAAAGTACACAATCCAAGACTTGAACAAGCTGGACCCATCCTAGCCATGAAGACTTGAAGTTGTATGGCTCCGCCATTAGGATGACTGCGAATGTCGACGCATGGTAGACGTAGACACCGAGACAAGCGCCATTTAACAACAAAAGCCACAGAATTGATGGGATACAAAATCCTTGTGCAGTTTGTTTGTAAAACGTGAGAACTTCACTCCAGTTTGCTTTGTAATGTAACATCTTCAAATCATGTTTCCATGTTCGGGGGCCGTATATTTCAGGTCGCACCCGGTGAGATTCGCGTGTCGTCGGCTTCTGGTCGGGGTCACTTTCGGCTAAGACGAAAATCACATCAGTATGATATACTAGGAGAGTGTGGAGATACGACGGTCAAATTCTATCAACACTTACCCAGGGGGTCATCAGCTCTGTTGTACATTGTCTCCGTAACGAAGAAAAATGACAAAACCAACAGCCCAAAGGAAATGAAAGTGATGACCAAATACCACCACTTGAGACCAAATTGGGGAACAATGTAAGTTGTTGCAACAAACATACCCGCCGTTCCTGCTGCCTGGACTCCAATATACCAAGCAATCTTGGTACTTCTCTCATGCAAGAAGTGAATCTCCTCAACAATGAAAGGAGCAAGAGCTTCACTCTGTCCGGCCGCCATGCTGAGGAAGTTACGCCCGGCAATGTGGCTCGTCAAGGAAGTCGAAAATGCACACCAGAGACCAGTCACGGCGAGCATGAGCAAGGAAATCAAGAAAATGGGACGTCTCCCGAGTGCCAGTGTCAAGGGCATGGATATAAGGTTTCCAATTCCCATGAACAGAGTTGGGTATGTCAACAGATCGGTCGCTCTCGTAGCCTGGTCGGGGTAGTCTTTGACCACGTATGGGAAAACGGCACCGAGGCCAGAAGTTGCGAGGACTGAGATGGCGCTGTACAGACCGACAAGTAATATTATGACGCCTTTGTGCCATGTCGGGAGATTCAGCGGATCTCATCTTGGAATTAGTCTAAGATCCAACGAGTACCAGCAGAAAAGGAGGGCAAAGATACCTTTGGGGTCTTGACTCGGGCGAGGTATCAAGATAACAGAATCATTTTGGATAAGTTTGATGAAGCCCTCGCTAGGTTGAAGTTGGCCGTGCGTATCGGCATCTGCCTCCAAGGTCGTTTCGACCGTTTCAACATTGGGATCATCTTCAGATTTCCGGGATCCCATCTTGAACGATAACTGATGAATAACTGACAATGTGTGGCTGTGGTTTACACGAGAAAGTGGCCCACTATCTGCTAATTCAAGAGCTGGAATCGAGGGAAGTGAGTTCCTTTATGAGAACACAGGATCGAAATCTCGGCTCGGTAACTCAACGGATCTCATTGATACCCCGTGGGGAACTAGTCTCCTCCTCCACATCCCGTAGCTCCTCCTTTTCTGCGGGGGTATTGCCACTCCCCGCACAACCAGGACTAAGCGAACCGTCGGTTCTGCCCAAGTCATAATTCAAAGAAATACCGAAGGCTCGGGATCTCGTCCTAAGTGATCAATCCATGTTCACTTGCAAATTCGTCGCCATGCCACCAGCGAAATCCCACACAGACCCGCCACGGAGCAAGAAGCGCCGGATCAACTTCGCGTGCAATTATTGCCGAGCCAGGAAAACCCGATGTGACGAGCAGAAGCCGTCTTGCAATGCCTGCCGGGCCGCCGGGGTACGTTGCATTACCACTGATAAGAGAAGGCCAGGCAAGTCGGTAGACCGGCATGAAGCAGGACGACAACGCCGCTCTATCACTTTAGTATTAAATGATGCTTCTCCAAACAATCAATTGATGCTAGAAGATGATGCTAACTTGCAACCTACGAGCCATTCCCGTGGCCATCCTGGTTTCTCAACTACCCTGGAGCTTTCAGAGATCGGGTATGTGGACGATCTTGAAAGTCAGAATCGAACCCCCAATTATAGGAATGAAGATGAAGGTGAAAGTTCCCGAAATCAATCATCACCTTCCCAATTTCAGGGGAGGTTGCCTTTGGTAAGAAATACCATCGGGAACTCGTCTGTTGAGATGGCCAACGACTGGTTGGATTTAGCCCTGTATCGGCTCGGTCTGCGGCAGGGTCCTACGAAGTCCTTTGAACATCACAAGGCAGACATGATGAGTCTTTCTGATGCAAGCTTGATTGATCAGTGGGAACTCCCCAACCAGGTTTCTGCACATGAACTCTTAGAGTGCTTCTTTCAAGGTCCCAACCTGGTCTTCCATTTGCTCGAGCAGAAAGAGTGCACGGCGAGCTTGGAAGAATGTCTCAACTCAAGCTTCTTCGAATTTGGTCAAATAAATGGACCGCCACAGATGTTGCAAATCTTGGCCGTCCTCGTCTTGGGGTACATCTCGGGTCCTCACCTAATTTCCAACTTTGATGCCAGATGTTATCTCAATCGTTGTAGAACAATGCTTGGGCATGTCATGAGATACCCGAGTATTGCAACTCTTAAGAGCCTCATATTATTTTCACTGGCATTAAAATCCAGTAATGAGCTTCTGGAGGCATGGCACACCGTCATCCTTGCCGCGTCGGTTGCAACATCCTTGGGACTGAACCAGCAAACGACCAGTTCCCCGGAACGAACATCTCTTGAATACCCCATGTCTCAGGAAAAGAAGAGGCTCTGGGTCTATGTATACACAATTGAGAAACTGCTCGCCTTTGAACTTGGGCGTCACTCAAATCTTCGTGATATTCAAGAGGCTGAGCTACCTGATACACTCGGTTGCAAAGAGCTTTTCGAGTTGGCGAGGTTGCTCAGTGATATTGGCAAATGGTCTGTCCGTGCGAGTAGACAAGAAGACGAAACAGATGGAGACGACGAGCTCTATCAGTCAATATGCGAAAAGGTGAAAATTACGGGAGAGAGTTGTATTAAACTTATACAATGGGCTGAGTCACTGCCCAACGAAATGAGGTAAGACAGAGTGATGGTTGGCGTCTACAATTTACTGATGCGATATCAAATAGGCCAACCTCAGGCCCGATTTATCATTCTAAACTTCACCCGGTTGCCTCCTATATCTCAATGCAGTATCACTCAGCGTAAGTGATAATCTACCGGGAGTTTTAAAATTTTAAGATGTTGTCTAATGATACCCCAAGAATAATTATTCTATCCCGCAACAGCTTGCTCATTAGTAAAGAAGCCTTGCAGTCGGCAGTCAGCGTAATAGCCAAAGACAAGCCATGGTACTCAGTGATACGCAATGGCCAATCCATGGTGGCTGATGCTGCGAGGAAGACTCTACGGCTCGTTATCGAAGGTGTGGACTCTGATTTCAACGCCGCGTTGTCGTCATTGACTGCGCCTCTCAACTCTTTGGCAACACTGGTAGTCTCAGTCATCACTCGGCCGCGATCACACATGGCGGGGACGGATCTAAGCTTGGTTGAGACTGCGGCCAGTGCCTTGAGGGAGCTGAATTACTGGAGTTTCAAGAGCAACGATGATCTGGGATCATTACTCGACCGGCTCGTTCGGCTTGCAAGTGATTCTATCAAGTCTGCAAGGCACTCTAGAGCAACAGCTTCGTCAATAGGTAGGAGGGAAGGCCGAGTTTCGTCATTTGGTAGCCGGCATGAGCCGCGATCAGATGGACCGGACCAGACGATCGATATGGCATGGCCAGTAATAGCTTCATCATGCGATTCTCAGGAAGAACCGCAATCAGGCTACCTCTTCGGCGGCGAATCTCAACCCGGGATGTTGAACGACGATGATGCGATGTGGTTCGACAATTGGACGTCGACTTTTCCCAACGAGATCAACTGGGACTGGTCGAATTTTCCACAGATATCCCAGTCCCGAGCTCAATCAAACGGCGTGGAAGAAGTTTAAACTTATTTCACCATATCAAAACCAAGGCAAGCCCTGCCAAGGGGTCTAGACTTCAAACAGGGCTTTGACTAAGTGCATGGTGCATCTACTTTACAGGTCCTCTCTCTCTAGCAAGCTATATGTTTGGAATGAATTTCATTTTCTTGTCCTTAGTTAATAGTCAATTTTACCTTCCAAATGCCAGTACCCTTAGCATCTTGGGCTCGACTGGTCATTTCCATCATTTGTGGTGTTGGTGATATTGACATGTTACCTGCCAAGTGACGCACACCCAGAACCTCCAGCGATGAATTTCGAGACAAGACCAAAGCAATCAACCGAGTAATAAACAGAAGAGCAATTTATAAAATATCAATTAGAAAACGAGATCCTGACTTTGTGAAAAGAACTTTGGTATGCCATGTTTCATGTCAGCCGCTTGGAGCTAACAGGCAGCATGCATATACCGGGGAGGTGCCCCGCTATGTGAATCTTCATGCCACTTCCGGCTTGTCAATCGAAACCGTCTCCCTTGATCCTACAACACCCAATTCCGCCTCGCACCTCACCAGACCGAGATCATCCTACTTCATTCTTCCGTTCCATCCCCCTTGAAGCCGATCTATCGAAATGTCCGACACTGCCACCGCCGACGAGCCTCAGGCCAAGAGGAAATGCCTCGGGGCAGACTGCAGCAACGACGCGGGGACTTTGCATTGCCCCACGTGCCTGAAGCAGGGCGTCAAGGACAGCTTCTTCTGCTCGCAGGACTGCTTCAAGAGGAACTGGGTTGGTTTGTCTGCTTCCTGATGCTTGTCCCTTCTCTCCTGGCTACTTCTAGGCAGCTCAGCTAATCCTGCTGTCGCGCAGAACAACCACAAGTCGATGCATAAATCCGCCCAAGATGACAAGAAGCCAAGTAGCACTCCCAACCACGCCTCCTCGATCCAACCTCCGATTCCTCGTCTCTGACCTTCGTCTCCGTATATAGCCAGTCGATTCTACAATCCCTTCCCGAACTACCCCTACACCGGCTCTGTCCGGGCCGTGTACCCCCTCTCCGACATGCGAACTGTCCCCAAATCGATCCGACGTCCAGATTACGCCGACACTGGGATTTCCAATGCCGAGCGACGGCTGAACCGAACCAAGATCGATATACTCGACGCCAAGGCACAAGATGCTATGCGCAAAGTGTGCCGATTGGCTCGAGAAGTGCTGGACATCACCGCCGCAGCTCTGAAGCCTGGCGTGACCACCGATTACCTGGACGAAGTCTGCCACAAGGCTTGCATAGAGCGCAAGGTAGAATCCAATATGCAACAGCAAAACAGGTCTTTCACGTTCCATGGGCTAACTATGCGAACCAACAGTCGTACCCTTCGCCGCTCAACTACAACCACTTCCCCAAGTCGCTCTGCACCTCGCCCAACGAGATTGTCTGCCACGGAATCCCCGACCAACGAATCCTCCTCGACGGCGACATCCTCAACCTCGACATCTCCATCTACCACGAAGGCTACCACGCCGACCTCAACGAGACCTACTACGTCGGCGACCGAGCCAAAGCCAACCCCGACAACGTGCGGATCATCGAGACGACCCGCGAGTGCCTGGACGAGGCCATCAAGCTCGTGAAGCCGGGCACCCCGTTCCGCGAGTTCGGCAACGCCATCGAGAAGCACGCCAAGTCGCGGGACTGCCACGTCGTCGCGACCTGGGGCGGGCACGGCATCAACACCAACTTCCACCCGCCCCCGTGGATCCCCCACTACGGCAAGAACAAGGCGGTCGGCACGTGCAAGCCCGGGATGACGTTCACGATCGAGCCCATCCTCGCTCTGGGGAAGCCCAAGGAGGTGTACTGGCCTGATAACTGGACGAATGCGACCATTGACGGGTCGCGGACTGCTCAGTTTGGTATGTGTCTCCTTCTCTTATTGATGCGCGTTATACTCATGTCGATGCAGAGCACACCTTGCTCGTTACCGAGACTGGCGTCGAGGTTCTGACGGCACGGAGGGAAGATTCTCCCGGAGGACCCATCCCAATGCCAGACACGGCGAGCGGCAACGATAAGACGAGTATATGAGTGGGTGTTATATAGTGCATTGTGGATAGGCATAGCGTGTGTGGTTTTTGTTAACGACTTGACGCATAGTTAGATGATGATGAATCCTATGGACAATCTCCTCGGCTCGGTGTTCGGGCATTCACTTGCCGTGACATTGGACTATCATTCCCCCTACACATGGGCAAGTACAGCTTCCTAGGTAGATGCTGGCAAGAGAGGAAAGGTCAGTAGAAGTTATCGACAAGAGATGACGCATTGTAGACGTGTTGTGGATCTAGGGAGGTCTCCCCTCTGGTCTCAGGCGAAGGCACCAAGCCATGGACAGACCCAGATGCCTCCCTCCCTCGACCTCCCTCCCTTGACTGGGGTTTCAACTTGAGACCCAGCACATTCATTAAGGTTTAAGCAATCATGACATGTTTTACACATGTGGATCTCTGCTCTGATCGTAGCACATGCTTACTTGAGGCGAGGCAAGTTTGTAATGAATTACCGTTACCCCAATCCCAAGACAAGCTGCACTGTTGCTTGCTCCTTTGCTTTCATCAGGACCAGACTGATCCAATTGCCCAGCCCAATTGCCAGTCATCTACTATCGAGGACCATTCATAAATAAACTCTTCCCTCCTCCACTCTCTTAGACTAGTGGGAAATAAACAAGCTTCGGCTCCAACACCAAGTCTGTGTGCCATCCCAAATCCGGCGCTCACCATAGAGCAACACCAATATAGCGCATAGAAAGTATGAACCATGTACGTTTCTGTTCATAGGCGCTACGTCGAACATCCGCTAGAGCGTCTCGATTTTGAGCTCAACATCTGCCATGCCTATTCAGCGACAATGAAGTCACCGTGGTGCAAGCTTCCGATCATCCCTCTTCCGGCGGCACTGGACTCTCCCAGAGGCTCTCAAATAGACTTTTCTTCAAGACTGATCTATAATCATGGCAATCACTTATCCATGAGATCCTGAATACCCCTCTCCCACCAGCACTGGCACGGAGGGCTCATCTTTTCGTCCACTTGCCACCATCTACCATGGGCCAGTGCTGCAGCTCGCCCAGGAGTAGAGGAGAAGTCCTCGGCAAGGATCCTCCTGTCGAGGTCGAGGTCGAATCGCAATACCTGACTCTCCATCCATCTGTTGAGAATGACTCGCCTCTTCTAAACCTCCCAGTCGAGCTATATCAGCAGGTCTCAAGCAAACTGGACGAATGCTCGGCCGCATCGCTCGCCCTGGCCAGTAGGGCCTCATACCACCTCCGCGAACCGCAGGCCCTCGCCTCGGTCAGCAACTCCCAGCCCGCACGGTCCGAGTTCCTCCAGCTGCTCGAGCGGGACCCCAACGTCGGCGACCGCCTCTTCTTCTGCGACATGTGCACCAAGCTGCACCCCTTCCAGGACCACTGGGGTCCCGACAAGTCCTGGGGCGAGTTCATGAGCATCAGCCGCTTCGGCAACTACAAGCACCACACCATCGGCCTCAACCTCCTCGGCACCAGCGTCGACATCAACTGGTACCACGCGCGGCTCGCCATGAACCGCCACCTGCACGGGTCCCCCTGCGGCATCGGGATCGGGAACCTGTCCATGACCACGCGGCCGCAGATCGCGGGGAGCAGGAAGAGCGTGCACACGACGCGGGCGAGGATCGTCGACGACAAGCTCATCGTGAGGATACACCACGTCCTCACCCCCGTGTGGCCCGACGTGCCCGCCGAGACGTTTAGGCAGGACGTGCTGAGCTGGACGCTGTACGTGTGTCCGCACACGGCGGTCGGGTCGTGCTTTGCGCTGAGGCCAGCGTCGCTGCCGGAGCTCGAGCCGCGGGATGATGGACGTGGGATGGTGTTCAGGCCGTGCCGGGACTCGGTGTCGTCGTGCAAGCGGTGCAACTCCGACTTCAGCGTCACCATCGAGGGCGGGGACGATGCGTCGGGCCGGAGCAGCGGGGGGTATCGTATCACGGTGATATCGTATCACATGGTCGGGGCGTGCCGCTCGCCTTGGGACAAGGACTGTGTCAGTTTGTTTGATTGCTACAGCAGCCATCTGAGGAACCTTAGGCGGCACCCTCGGGGGTCGGTGATCAAGAAATGGTGCTCACTGTCGAAGTAGATTGATGGTTCTATCACACGATGGTCTAATCTAGGTCGTGAGTGTACAGATAACTCACGGTACCAGCAACAATCTTATTTAATATCTTTTTTTTACTTCTAGACGTCAAGTGTGCCAAGACTCCTTTAGTTGCTTAGGTTTAAAATGTGCATTCTTTAGCCTCATTAAAACCTCGAGGCATAGTGACTGATCATTCTGAAGCTTGAGCCACTTGGATCTTGACAACCGTCGCGGTCACCACGCTGATAACAATGCTCCAGTCACTGGGAACAAAATCCATCAGTGAATCAGACATTATCTCAAAGGCCAAGCTCTTCATGCAACTCATGTGAGGAACTACCGAGCCCAGAGTAGACTTGAAATTACTCGTTACCAGTAGCAAACTCCCCCTTGGCAATCTTGTCACTCAACTTCTTATTTGCCTTAAGATACGTCTTCAAATCCGGCCTCGCCTCGCCCATTAAATCAGTCACAATCCGGCCAAAGACTGTGCTCCCCGCGGCATTCAAGTGAGTCTTGTCTCCAGACTTTTTGTCGTACTTTGCAGCATTCGTCTCTCCGATTTTGTTCAGGTAGTCGGTGCTGGCACGGTTGAGGTCCAGATATTTCGCCCCCGCTGCCTTGGCCGCCGCCTTGGCTGCGTCTGCCCAATCCTTGAGATTCTCGCTGGCTTTCCCTTCATGGAACACACGACGGGCTAGAGAGGTAACAATGATCTGCGGCGGTGTCAGTTAAAGCTATCGTTCGGTCAAAGGGCATTGTGTGCTGAGCCTGCACTTACTGGGGTTCCGCCTGCACTCTTGACCTCTTCTGCTAGCTTCTTCATATTGTTTTGGAACTGGCTGAGAGAGATTCCGGCATCCGCCTTCTGGTCATTGTGTCCGAACTGTATGGTGACGATGGGACGGTACTTGTCCTTGTTGTCCTTCACAGACTGGATGGCCTTGTCCCACCAGCCGCCAGTCTTGAAGGTGACAGTAGTTGTTCCTCCCTTGGAGCGAATCACGCCGTCCGCGCCATTCTGGGCATTACTGATGAAACCTTCTCCCCAGCCAGTTCCCTTGTTGGTGGTTGAGTCACCAGTCACAATGAAATATGGTGGCTTTTCGGCACGGGGATTAAGAAGAGGCTGTGCCTGAGCCAAAGCGGCGACGAGGCCACAGAACAAGAAGCTAAGACGCATGATGAATGAGACCTACTGGCAATCTTTGGAAAAGAAGCTGTGATTTTCTTCCCGATAGCCAGCAAAATCAAGTTCAAGCTATCAGCTCAGCATGGCTTTATATAATAATGGCCAGGGCACCACAACCGCAATTGATAAATATGCCCTGCCATTACGCCTACAGCCTACATAGACGAAATTCCGCCTCTAGACACAGTCTCACCTAGAAGTGACATATGCCATGATGAAGATCCACCTTACGTGACGGGAACTTATGTCAGTGAGATCTTCCTGTCTTCAGCTGGAGGAAATTCTCCGCTTCCCGCCCGGGATATCCTAGTCAAAAGGTCCCTATTACACCATTCGAAGTCGAGCTTTTCTGAGACTTGTGGGCCGAGATCGTATTGCCCCATGCGGACACTTCCCAACAGATCCGACATGCCTTTCGTGAATGCAAGCACCAATGTAAGAGAGTGGATTTTCAAAAGTTCAGTTCCTTTTAGCTTAGCTTGCGGGAAGTTAGGAAGTAGTCCGCAAAGTCAACAACCTTGATGGGATTTATCTCAAATATACTGGCTTCTTCTCGAAAATGAGGGCCTATAAGAGCACCATGCAGGTTGAATCCTAAGTATTTCACTGAAGAGGTGATGATAACGTCAAGAGAGACAACACAAGCCAACCTGAAGGGTTGTCGAGTTTCCAGGCTGGAGTATTCTGGTTTGCGGAGATTTCTAACCAATTCTCTCGAGATAAACCAGCATGGACGGCGCCAAGCCATTTCCTCTGGTATCCATCGCACTAATACCAGGATTCAATCCAAATCAAGATGCGTATGCCTTCTTTCTAAGGATGCGTAGATGCTTTGGAAAGCTCCTTGGTGTTCTGACGACGGCTTTGCCTTCTCAGGTAGGAACAGAGAGATTTACATACCCAGAGATAGGACTGGGGCAAGGAAAACCAGCAAGATCATACAGTCCGCTCCGTAAAGCTTTTCTCTATCAATTTGCTACTCGCCATCGATTCAGACCGCCGTCCTCGTCCAGAACTTCCAACCCTTCCGGTTCTCCTGCGCTCCCACACCAACAAGCCGATCAATTCCTTCAGGCCCCTCCGCCTTCTCAAACATCTCCCGGTCAACCTCCTCGGCCGCCCTATCATCATCCTCGTTGCGGAACACGGCCGGCCAGAGGACCCCCACGCCATCAGCGCCCAGAACAGTCTCGTACTTCTCGAACCCCTCCGCTTCGAACTTTTGCTCCAGCTCCCGGATAGTCTCCTCCTCCACGTCTGGCCGGAACAGCGTGATAGCGCACCCGCCGCCTCCCGCACCGGTTAGCTTTGTCCATCCTATCCCCGCATAGTCGACCAGCTCTCTGATCCGCTCAAGTCTAGGATGTGATACCCCAAGAGAAACGAGGAATCCGTGGTTGATACGGATCAGCGTCCCCAAGTGCTCTACCGCCGCATTAATCCTCTCATTATCATCACCATCAAAATCAGTCGACGAGATGAGCTCCAGTGCCGAGTTGCATACTTCCCCAATGCCCTCTAGAATCGGCTCAACCACCTTGGGATGCTTCCTCCTCAGCACGCCCACGTTCTCAACCTGCGTGAGCGACGAGCGCCCCTGTCTCGTATTGACTAGCAGCAGCGGCAGCTTCGGAAACCGCGGCAGCGGCGTAACCAGCGGCGGCAGCGAGCCGGCCGCGCCCTGTCTCTGGTACAGGACTGCCTTCCCCCCCGCCGACACGGTGTTGTCCACGCCGCTGGGGTTGCCCTGGATGCACATCTCCCCGACGTAGGCCCAGCGATTGATGCGCTCAATCTGCAGCTCGGCCTCCTCGGGCGGCTGGTCCGGGTGGGGGCCGGCGAGGGCGCGGATCTGGAGGAGGAGGGCGGCGCTGAGGCAGACGCAGACGCTCGCGCTGCTACCGAGGCCGGCGCGGACGGGGATGGTGGAGCGGAGGGTGTAGATTACCGCGGGGGTCTGCGGCGAGCTGAGGGAGAGGAAGAGGTAGAGGAAGGCTTTGGCTGAGCTAATGTGGATCTTGCGGTCCTGGTCTGAGAGGTGCTTAGATACCTCTTCGGCATAGGGGATGATGGCCTCGAGGAGATCGTCGTCGAGGGAAGTGACGAGGGAGTGGAAGGATTTCTTCTTCTCTGGTTGGTTGAAGATGGTCCAGGGCAGAGCAGCAATGTCCCAGGTATGGGCGAGGCCAATGTCTCGCATGTTCAGCGTGACGGTGTGATAGGGCTTGGAGAGGGTGTTGACGAGGAGGTAGGACCGGAGGGAGATGGCGGCGGCGATGGCTGGCTTGCCGTAGACGGCGGCGTGTTCGCCAAAGACGATGACCTTGCCGGGCGCCGACACCATGAAGGTCGGCGCCATGGGCAGCGACTGTTTCCTTCTCATGTCTGCTATTCTTGCTTTCTCAAGCAGAGTCCTATATGTCTAGACTATATGAGTTTGGGTGCAGGGGTAGGCGTTGTAAGCCTTGATCTACTCTCCAAGTCCTTTACGACGTTCTTCGTCCTCAAGTTGAAAGAGACAGAAATGCTGACTGAGTCTATCCTCTCTTCCCCGGGCTCGCAAATCCCCTCCCTCTCCCCTCCACCGCCTAGATATAGATATAGGAGTGATGTGGATGGATAGATGCTGTAGAAGGGACTCCATTGTTGTGCTCACTGATCCTCTCGTCGTATTCGTATGCGATGCCACATTAGTCTGTCCATCTTGGTTCAGAACGGGGCTTTCTCCAAAAACTAGTCCATTTCCAGCGCGTGTTCGGATAGATGTTCGATAGGATCTGGAACATGAGAAGAGCCAGATGGGCGAAACATATTCGTAAGCATCGTCGATCAAACTTATCTCTCGTCCTCGCCCAAGCAAAACCTATACTGCATGATCCCCACAGTCTTGCATTCTATAGAGAGCCAGCCTGGTGAATGAACCCACGTTAACCAAAGAACATGCTGTTTGATTTTTACACTACTTTATATATGCGAGAAAACAGATTCACTCATTTTATCATGAATACTGAACTTCAGGTATCCTACTTGAATCATAATATTAATATTTATTTAAAAAATCGATTCTCGTCTTTAATATCCCCACAATACAAGATCCCTTCCCTTCGCGACCTCAATGAATGTTCATTTGGCTCTGAGTTCAAATAAGACTCGTTTCCATCTAATTCTAGACTGTGCTTATTTTCCTCTAATTCTAAGTGAAGTCGCTTCAATTATTCTTTCTCCATCTCCCCGGGAATTACGGAGCGATTCATCTCCAGTTCTGAAGTCACTTCAGTATCATCGGCATAGTCACTTTGGGAATTTTCACCAGTTCATCCATCTTTGCCCTAGCCTCCTCATTCTTAGGGTTTTCGTACATGACGAAGCCATGAGTGCGATCTTATCCTTCGACTGGGGATCAAGCACCTCCTCCTGGTCCATCGCATCGTTCAGCAGGTTGCATATCTTGATCACTTCTGCTGGCCGACGAGTTTTCAAATAAGGGTTGGGCAATTGTATAGCAGCGGCAAGTGTGTTGCCTGAAATGGCTCACAAGATATTTTCAAGGACGCATATCGCTTCATTTGACAGAGGCTCTGCCTCCCTGAGCACTTCCAGTTTCATGTTCACACCGAGACTATGCTCAACCATTCCTGTGAAACTATGGCCTGCCCCATATCGCTGGCGAATCCCTTGGGACACTTCCTCCAGGAGCTTTTCGATTTTTGATACTTGCCCCAAATCTAGGCAAATCATTCCAAGAGCAGCGCCGCTTTGCAAACAGTCGGCCTCATGCGCTCCGACCTTGTTCTGTATGGTATCATATACCAGCTGATACAAGGACTCGGCGTCATCATAATGATCACCTTCCGTATGTCGCGGAAAGATAGTTCGTCGTGTCGAGGGGGATTTGGTCGTCATTCTGAGCAACTCAATTCGTCCTTCATGGACTTCAACGAAATCTATTCTGCCTTTTTACCACTCTGCAGATTGGGCGCATGCGAGACCAAGGCAGCCTATTGATCATATTGCACACTGATATCATTAACCCCTTTTATTTCATTCATCTATAGCTTCGAGGTGACGATTTCGATTGGCTAGATGGCTAAGAAGGCGGACGCAATCGCTGAACTTATCCGCAAGGCCGAGCCCAACTGCAGCAAAGTCCAGGGGTCGTTCTGGATCCTACCTTACGATCCAACCTTGTCACTATCATAGGGATTGCATGACGATGTAGCATTGAAGTGGAAGCAGCCTTCCCTGTCATGTTCCTTGTCTCCTTGTCGTCCATTGCACCCCGCCGACGCTATTGAAAGGGGTGGCTTGAAGAAAAGGGCTCGTATAATGGCTTCGTTTCAGGGCGCAGTGCCGGTTCAAGGTATCCAATAGCAGCTTGTCGATTTGGCATCCGGCTATTGAGTTTGGTCTTTTTTACTTTTTCTAAAGCAGTGACATCAAATGTAACAGTGATATGAGGAGCAACCATGCATGGGCGGTTCTAGATTCGTCATTCGTGGAGGGGGGCAAGCAAGGAGAGTGTTGTTGCATGGGGATGCATATATCCTGTAGCCCCCTGGCGGTCGAGTTCTGGGACGGTCGAACGACAAGAATGGCGACCATGTCTTATCTACCTATCTGGCTATCTGCGGCCGTGATTTCTGCATCAGTATACCTTGCGTTTCTGACTGTACAATACTTCCTGTCTACTCTGCGACCGAAAGACTTTCCTCCAGGTCCACCAACTGTGCTCGGACTGGGGAACTTGCATCAAATCCCGCTCAAAAAGCCCTATATAAAGTTCCAGGAGTGGTCAAAGGCCTACGGGGAAATAATCAGCCTCAAAGCCGGCACGGCGGATCTCATTGTCCTTCAAAGCCCCGAAGTCCTCCACGAGCTTCTCAGCAAGCGAGCCGCCTACTATTCCGGCCGTCCATACAGCTACATCTCGGTCGAGCATGTCTTTGGCGAGCATCGGGACAAGCATATCCTCAATGTCCAGAACGATTCCTACCTCCGACGCTGGCGCACAGCTGCCGCATATCTCGTGGGCAAGAACAGTTCGCAGGACATGATGCCCATGCAGGAAGCCACCTCGACAACACTGGCGAGGAATCTGCTGAGGAGCACACCGTCGGAGACTCTAAGAGAATTGAAGAAATGGGCGCTGGCCACTCCGCTGCTGGCTGTCTGTGGGCAGCACCTGGAGGAACGGGACCCAGACTTTGCCGATCGGTTTTTCAGCATCCAGAAGATCTGGCTGGAGCTTCTGGAACCGGGCAAGGCACCTCCCGTTGATGTATTCCCTTTTCTCCGCTGGGTGCCAGAGAGGTTCGCTTTGTGGAAGAGCAACGCGCGAATGGTGCGCAAGTTCATGCTTGAGTCGTACTTCAGCTATCTAGAGACCACACTTGAGTCCAGAAATGATGCCAAGGTGATGGGGGGCGGATCCCAGCGCAGATTTCAATCCGTCCTATCGAGGATAATGGAAGATGAGGAAGCGGAGAGGGAGAAATCGAATGCAAAGGCCACATTCTCTCATGATGAGCTTGCATATGTTGGTGGCGGCCTCATTGATGCAGCAGTCGACACAACATGGGCGACGCTCTCCAGCTTTGTGCTGTACATGGCTGCCTGTCCCGATGTTCAGGCCAAAGCACATGACGAGATCAGCCGTGCGAGCCCCGACCAACCGCCAGGAGGCGATGTGATTGAGAGGATACCATACATCCAGGCATGTCTTCTCGAGGTGAGTCCCTTGTCATTGAATTGTTTACCTCTTCCTGCCATCAATCCACGGTACTAAGATCTTCCCAAAGATTCTCCGACTTTGCCCAGCATCTCCCAATGGGATACCTCGCGTCGTCAGCCGCGAGGACAACTACAAGGGCTTCCGCATCCCCAAGGGAGCCACCGTCGTCGCCAACTTCTGGGGCATGCAGCGTAACCCGGACGACTACGACCGACCTAACGAGTTCCTTCCCGAGAGGTATCTCAATCATCCTCTCGGCCTGAAAGCTGGAGCCCAGGAAACTGCGGCTAAGCGTGCAACGTACACATTTGGCGCGGGGCGCAGGATCTGCCCGGGGGATCAATTTGCGCAAAACTCGGTTCTTGTTGCCATGTCGAAGCTGCTTTGGGCATACAATATCGTGCCGGCGGAGAAGGAACCCCTTGACCTCGATGTTGAGACGGCCTTCCATCCAGGGCTGATCCTGGGCCCCGAGCCGTTCAAGGTTGACTTTGTGCTGCGAGATGCGGCAAGGGAGGAGGCGGTTCTTCGAGATTATGACGAGGCTCAGGCCGTCCTTGGCGGGTTTGGCCTTTAATTGAAAGTGTGCAATCGGTTTAGAAGCAGTCTTGGTTCAACGCCCTTCTGATCTACTACTTGATCTTTGTTTCCTGGGCGCACTTACTCAGTTCCGATTCGCTTCGTTTGTGACCAAGGCGTAAGAGAAAGCAGGTAATTACCACGGGCTAGCAACAGGAATTAATGACAGGTCAGATACTAGAGAAGGGCATGTTCGTTCGATGGGAAGCTACTTCTGCAGTTAATCCATGCCTCAGGCTTCCCAAATTGATTCGCTCGGCCTGAGGCAGGAGAATGACGACGGCTCAGAGCCTCTTCCAGTGCCTCGCGCCTGCCGCCGATAATCCTCTCTCCAGGTCACTCGCCAGCTTCTTTTCCTTTGCATCTTTCTCTTCAACTTTCCCACTCGCATCGCTCCCATCATCAATTATCCATCACTTCTCAACACTTCTATCCGGAGAGCGAGTTATCCATCATTGATCAGCAATTTCCATCACTACTCAGCAGTTTAATATCCTTCAACACTCAATCTCCCGCTCGCCATGCCTTCCACAGTACAGACACCCGGCAACCAAAAGTCCACGCCCAAGGCCAACCCAAACCTCCATTTTGTGAAGACTTTCAACGGAAAACTGGAAGTAGCCCCGGACAATGTCTGCATCGCCACCTGCACCGCCCACCTCGTCGACCGCGGCGACAACCCTTCCCGCTTCCGCAACCGAATGATGGCCGCCTCCGACGAGACGGGTGAGCTAGCTGAAGAAATCTTCACTCCGAACGGCCGCCTGCTCCCCGAGCATCGCGGGCCCCAACCCACCCTGAACGGAGTCATGGACTGGAGCGAAGCCTTCGACATCGACAACGTCCTCACGTTCACCCACATCAAGATCGCCAAGGCCTATCGACGCAAGGGCCTGGGCAGGGACCTAGTCGAGGGGATCCTCCACGAGGCGACGAGCGGAGGGAAGCGCCTCTCGGCCTTTGTGGCGCCCGGCGCCCTGGAGAGCGAGTACAAGCACTTGGAGGGCGAGGAGAGAGAGAGGGTCATCAAGGAGCAGGTTGACATCTGCGTTCAATTTTGGTACAGTCTCGGTTTCCGAAGGGTCAAGAGGACCAACTGGCTGGCCCTCAAGGTCCAGCCTGATGCCAGGGCTGCTTAAGTGGAATTAGACTGTCTTTGCGGAAAGGAATGAGGGGGTATGGCTAGACGTGATCACGATGGGTGGTATAGATTAGCTTGAGTTTGGTGCATCAAGAATTTGCTGAGGCACCCGGTATACATTGATGAAAAGAGTTGCTTGCTGAATCCGAGAATTGTTCCAAAAACTATGCTTCCCGTGAAAGATGTCTGTCAACTTGACCGAGATGGAGCGCCTAGAAAATGAAATACGATGGGTGTTCCGTCGCGATGGTGCTTCAAGCAACCGCCGGCCCCTGGAGGATTTCGTCGTCAAACATCCAGTTCATATGCTCAAGCATACTAAACGATGGATCAATGGGTCCAGCGCCAAAGTCTGTTTCAGGTATCTATAATTCATCGATCACTTTCGTCAGCAGCCATCTCGCACCATCTTCACCATCCCAACACCCAACATCAAACTCCAAACTTACCGTGAAATCCCAGTCCAGTGTGAGCTGATCAGCCTGGTTCATCCGCGGAAGCGCCAGAGGCATTCCCGAAACCTCGCTCTCCGCATTGTGATCCTGTCTCTGCTGCACCTCTGCGGCCGCCTTCTCCAGCACCTCGAGGCACCGCGCGCTCGTGTCCAGCACCGACTCGATGAGCGCCCGGTGCATCGCCTCCCCCGTCAGACCCCCCAGCATGGCCTTGATCTGCGCGATGATGAGGCTGCTCACGAGCGTGCCCTTGATGTTGGTCTCGCCGTTGATAATCATCTCGAAGCTCAGGTCTTTGATCTCGTCTATGACGGGGAGCATGTCCGAGCGGATGGGCGTGGCGCCCAGCCCGTCGTCGTACTCGCGGATCTGCGCGCGGATCTCTGCGAGGAGCAGGAAGCTGGCCTGCATGGTGCCGTAGATCCCGGAGCGGAGGGCCGCGAGGATGGCGAAGTCTTCCTTCTTGGAGGGAGGGGACGAGGTGACGTGGGGACCGCGGAAGGAGACCTGCGAGCCGGAGGACGCGCGCCATACGGCGAGGCAGGTCTCGCTCACGACCTTGCGCGTGAACGCGAAGGAGGCTTCGTGGATGGATGGGCCGTAGAATGGGACGTGGAGCACCAGGAGGGTCTGGCGCATGACGTTGTCGATGAAGGTCAGTTGAAAGGTTGAGGGGCCGGGGAGACCTGCGTTGCTCTTTGCCTTCCACATCTGGATCTGTCTTCCGATGAGGCGGTGCGCGGTTCGCAGCTCGGCGTCTCGCCTCAGGGTCTCTTCATAGCTGTTTCGGGAGCCGAGGTCGTTCAGATACCTGGCGACGCCGAGCCGAGCCTCGAAGGTCTGGCAGAGCGCTCTGGCGATCGACATCTGGGTAAACTCGGTGTCTGGCTTGGTCTCCGGGTCATTGATCAGGAGCTGGTCATCGTCGAAGTTCCCCGGAGGCTGTGTATCGTAATCATCCGGCGAGATGAGAGGGGCGGCCCCGGCAAGCAGGCTCGTCTGCAGGGCCAGTTCCAAGATGGTGTTCCAGATCCTGCGGCGAAGCTCAGCGGCGAAAGTCGTCCGGCGAGGGAGCCGTGTCGGATCTCGATGCAGCCCGACGTACATTGCCGTTCGCAGCAGCTCTCCCATGGGAAGCCACGTCATGCTCCAACCTTGGCCGCAGGCCTCGCGGGCGATCAGGAGGAGGATACGGGACTGTATGTCGCGGATGAATATACGGGCTTTGTAGTCGGGACGGGAGTGCCACGTCTCTGCCTCGTGGATCCAATGGACGGTCGATTTACGCATGCTGAACTTCTCATCGTAAACAGTGGCCCCGATGGCGAGGACGAGCTTTATCGTGACGATGGTTGTCATATCCGGCTTGGGGCTAGACGACCAGATGGCGTTGTATTCTTTCATAAAGGAAGGTATGTGCAGTACACGGTAGACGCTCTCGGAGGTCCTGATGTACCCATCGACCAACTGGTCACACACCTCCTTCGGGGGCAGATCGTAAGTGGGCATTGCAGGCCATCGGGGAGCACGGTCAGCTTTGATGATCCTGGCGAGTTCTTTGCACCGGGAGAGACGTTCGGATATCTTGGATGTCATATCTTGGGCAACTCGAGGCTCGAATACCTCAAAAACATCTCGGAACTAGGAAAAGGAAGAGTAAGACTGTCTGCGCTACCAGCGATCCAGCGTGGAATGAGGGGGCAAGATACATACCATAGCAAGGCAATTGGCCCAGTGGCTCTGACCAAACAACCTCTTCTTGTGCATGACACTGCGGCTTGTGAAGAGAGCCTGGCCGAATATTTCATTCTCGAATTCATAGGCGGGCGATGTTCTCTTCTGAGGTGCCTGTCCAGGAGCGGTGGCTTCATGATTCTCCTCTGGAGAGGTAGTGCTGTTGTTCGTCGTGAAGACGGTAGACGAGCTGGCGCTATTCCTGTACCTCAATTGCAGCAGCTGATCTTCCAACTGGACAATGCGCGACCGCATGGTATCAACATCCTGAACGCTCCCGGGCGACGCCTTAGGTGCGATGCTCCTTGCATCATTTCGCACGAGGACAGGTTCAAAGGGGAACCGGCCCTGCCCTTCTTCCGTCTCGGAATCAACAGCATCACCATCATACAGGAGGCTCTCGGGAGGGGAGAGCTTGGGAGCCAAGAAGATCTCGCCAATCTTGGCTGGACTGGCTCTGGGCTGGGCAGCCTCTGTCTGCGCAAGTCTTGGGGGTGGGTTGGCCGACTTGTCATAAGTGCAGGTGAGTCCAGGCGCCTTGGACCGGACGCAGTTGTTACATGGGAGCTCACGGTTGCAGCGAATCTTGCGCTTCCTGCAGAGTGTGCACGAGCTGTAGGGAACAAGTGACAAGGATCAGCTTGGGTCGGGATTTGGTGGAAGGGCTGCATACTTACACCGGCGGCCGGCGACGTCGCTTCTCGGGTTCAACCATGACGGAGAGGGGATAATGCAGAGGGGAAGGAAGTGAGTCAATCGATCGGTTTTTTGGAGATTTTTTTTCTCTCCGTCTTGTCAAACCAGAGTGACCAGCACCATCTGGTTTTGCTTGTGACCGAAGAGGACGGAATCTCTGATCTGATGAGGCCGGAGATAGCTGGGCTGGAGTCGGGAAATTCAATTTTCCGACCATCCCGGACACGTGATTGGCTGAATATGCCGACTCCGACAAATCGGCATCGAGGCTCTTCCTCCATTTTTCTATCTCCGGCTCCGACCTTTAACATCCCCTGCAACTGAGGCAAACGTCTGTTCCCACCCCTTCGAGTTATCAGATCTGTCCCCGAGTTGGGAGATAATTTCCCGGGCGTCATGTCGGTCTCTTCAATATTTAATAGCCATGGCCTGGGCTGGCCAGTCAGCTCATCACCCACTCACTACGCTCCTTCACCTTTCCTACATCTCTCACAAGACCCTTAGCTGGGATATCAGACAGTCAGAAACGATAATTACATCACATCGCCACAATGACCAAGTCCTTGTCTGACCTGGAGAAGCAGCCGGATCACTCGACTGACCAAACCACCGACGTGGAGCCCTCCCCCGAGGCGGCTGCAGACCACTCCCCAGCCCCCGACGGCGGCCGCGTTGCTTGGCTCGTCGCAGTCGGCGCCTGCTGTACCTCTTTCGCCGGTCTTGGCTTTGCCAACTCCACTGGCATCTTCATCGAGTACTACCTCTCCCACCAGCTGCAGGACAAGACCCCCGACGATATCGCCTGGATCGGCTCCCTCTCCAACTTCATCCAGTTCGCCTCCGGGTGCATCGGCGGCCCCCTCTTCGACCGCTACGGCGCCTGGGTCATCCGCCCCGCCGCCCTCCTCTACCTGCTGGCCATCATGATGACGAGCCTGTGCCACGAGTACTGGCAGTTCATGCTCGCCCAGGGCGTCCTCCTCGGCATCGGCATGGGCGGGCTCATGTTCCCCGCCCTCGCCGCCGTCTCCCAGTGGTTCGACAAGAAGCGCGCCGCCGCCCTCGGCCTCACCATCTCGGGCTCCTCCATCGGCGGCGTCGTCATCCCCATCGTCTTCTCCAAGCTCCTCAACGACTCCTCCCTCGGCTTCGGCTGGAGCGTCCGCGTCGTCGGCTTCGTCATGCTGCCCTTCCTGCTCTTCTCCTGCGTGTTCATCAAGGCCCGCCTGCCCCCCAAGGTGTCCAGCTTCTTCGACGGCAGCGCCTTCAAGCAGACCGAGTTCTGCCTCCTCGCGGGAGCCTTGTTCTTCATGATGCTCGGCGTCTTCACCCCGCTCTTCTACATTCCCACCCTCGCCGTCTCGCGAGGGATGAACGCCACACTCGCCTCGTACCTCCTCGCCGTCATCAACGGCGCCTCCATCTTCGGCCGCATCATCCCTGGAGTCCTCGCCGACAAGCTCGGCCCCAGCAACGTCTTCTCCGTGGCGGGCATCGTCACGGGAGTCATCGTGTGCTGCCTCAACGAACCCTCCGGCACGGCTGAGTTCGTCATCTACTGCGTCTTCATCGGGTTCTGCTCCGGCACCGTCATCTCCGGCGGGTCGGCGGCGCTGGCGAGGACGGTTAAGAACCCGCAGCTCATGGGCACGTACCTGGGCATGGGTATGGGCCTCTCGTCCATCGCCGTCCTGATCGGGCCCCCCATCAACGGCAGGCTCCTGGACCAGTACGGGTTCTTGTCGGTCGGGCTGTTCAGCGGTCTGGTGTGTCTTGTCGGAGGTGCTTTTGCGCTTCTTAGCAAGGTATTCTCGCCCCATGGCCTCATTAGCAAGTTCTAAATGGGTTTTGCGAACGATAGAGAAAGGTCCCTCGTTTGCCGAGGGGTTTATGGTTTGGGGAGATGGCTGTGTCGAACGATAGAGCGATAGGAGGAATGTAACTTAATGGATCCAAATTGTATAGAATTTTCCACTCATAGTGTTAATATATAGAAATCTATTCCCTGTTGTTTTACTCAGTTATCTCCATCGAGACGAAGTTGATGTTCCGGCGGCACGCATGAATAACAGCTCTGGGTTGACTGTTTATATAAATTGCCTAAGAGACGAGA